TACAGTAAAGCAAAGTGCAATGAAACAAAGTATGCCTGTAGTCACTTTTTTTTTTTTTTAAGATTTTATTTATTTGAGAGAGAGCTAGAGAGCACAAGCAAGGAGAGCAGCAGAGGGAGAGAGAGAAGCAGGCTCCCTGCTGAGCAGGAAGCCTCACGTGGGGCTCAGTCCCAGGACCCAGGGATCATGACCTGAGCTGAAGGCAAACGCTTAAGCAACCAAGTCACCTAGGTGCCCCTGTAGTCCAATATTTGTTTTTGCTTTTGGTGCCAACTCCAGAAAACCATTGCTAAGACTGATGTTGTGGAACTTACCACCTATGTTTTCTTCTAGAAGTTTTTATAGTTTCAGGTTTTACATTCAGGTCTTCTAACCCATTTTGAATTAGTTTTATATATGGTATAAGACAGGAGTCCAGTCTCATTCTTTCACATGGGCTGTCCACTTTTCCCAACACTATTTATTGAAGAAACTGTTCTCCCCATTGTATATGCTTGCCTCGCTTGTCATCAATTAATTGACCATAGGTTTATTTCTACATTCTCTTCTGTTCTATTGATCTATGTGCCTTTATGCCAGTACCATAGAGTTTTGATTATGATAGCTTTGTAAATTAATTTGAAATCAGGAATGTTGGGACACCTCGATGGCTCAGCGGTTGAGCGTCTGCCTTCAGCCAGGGCGTGATCCTGATGTCCCAGGATTGAGTCCCACATAGGGCTCTCTGCATGGAGCCTGCGTCTCCCACTGCCTGTGTCTCTCCTTCTCTGTCTCTTTCATCAATAAATAAATAAAATCTTAAAAAGAATCAAGGATGGCTCTAGCTTTGTTCTTGCTCAATATTGCTTTGGCCATTTGGGGTTTCTCGTGGTTCCATACAAATTTAAGGATTGTTCTATTTCTGTGAAAAACGCCATTGGAATTTTGATAGGAATTGCCACAATAATTTTTAAAGTTTTACTGTGTGCCATGTATGGTTCTCAGGATTGCTTGATAATTTGATACCATTCTCCTCATTCTGTAGATGAGAAAATGGGTTTACAAAAGATAAATAACTTGCCTCAACTCAGACATAGTAGTTTCAGGATTTGAGCCTAAACTTGCCTAATTCCAGAACCCATGCTCTTAACCTCACTGATCTCCCTCCAAAAGGGAATGATGTACCTGTTGTAACCTGTGCACCTACCACAACCAAACACATCTGAAAAACTACCATTTGTTCTCTAAAACAGCACTATCCAATAGGAATAAGAGTTATACAGGTGAAATTTTAAATCTTCTAAAAGCTATATTGAAAAGGTAAAAATAATTTTTTATTTTGTTATTTTTTTTAAAGATTTTATTTATTTATTCATAGAGACAGAGAGAGAGAGAGAGAGAGAGAGAGAGAGAAAGAGAGGCAGAGACACAGGCAGAGGGAGAAGCAGGCATCATGCAGAGAGCCTGATGTGGGACTCGATCCAGGGTCTCCAGGATCACGCCCTGGGCTGCAAGCGGCGCTAAACCGCTGCACCACCGGGGCTGCCCTAAAAATAATTTTTTAAACTGTATTTAACCAGGGATCCCTGGGTGGCGCAGCGGTTTGGCGCCTGCCTTTGGCCCAGGGCGCGATCCTGGAGACCCAGGATCGAATCCCACATCAGGCTCCCGGTGCATGGAGCCTGCTTCTCCCTCTGCCTATGTCTCTGCCCCTCTCTCTCTCTCTCTCTCTCTCTGTCTCTCTGTGTGTGTGTGTAACTATCATAAATAAATAAAAATTAAAAAAAATAAACTGTATTTAACCTAATGTGTGCAAAATATCATTTCACTATGTAATCAATGTAAACATTACTAAAATATTTTGCATTATTTTGTTTTCATACTAAGTTTGCAGCTTGGTATATGTTTTACATTTACACTGCATGTCAATCCTCACTAGCCACATTTCAGGAAACCGGTATCCACTTGGAGGTAATGGCTACCATGCTGGATAGTATAGCCCTAGAATGTCAAGTGTGACAATTATGATGCAATCCTGGTCTAACATTCTTCTTCCTCATTTGAAAATCGACTCCTTTACAAGTGTAAATTAAATTAAATTTTTTTATTTTTGTAGTAAAACACACAACACAAAACTTACCATTTTAATCATCTCTAAGTGCACACAGTTGAATAGCATTTAATACATTCATATTGTTGTGCACCTGTCACCACCATCCATTCCCATAATTCTATTCATTCATCTTGTGAAAGTGTAAGCCCATTAAATAATAATTCCCCATTTCCCCTTTCCCACCCCCTGGGCAACCTCTGTATTTGTATTTTGTTTTTGTTTTGTATTTGTATTTTGACTACTCTAAGTACCTCATATCAATAGAATCATGCAGTATTTGTCCTTTTATGACTAACATATTTTGTTTAGCATAATGTCCTCAAGGTTCACCTATTTTAGCAGTTGTGGCATATTGCAAAATATCTTTCTTTTGAAGGCTGGGTGATAGATACTCCATTGTATGTATATACCACATTTTATCTGCTCATCTGTGGATCGACTCTTGGATTGCTTCCATCTTTTGGCTGTTGTGGATAATGCTACTATGAACATAGGTGAACAAATATCTCTTCAAGACCCTGCTTTCAGTTCTTTGGTTATATACCCAGAAGTGGAATTTGCTAGATCATATGATGATTCCTTTTTTTTTTGAGGCACCACTGTATTTGCACAGCAGCTGCCATTTTACATTCCCACCTATAGTGTATAAACATTCCAATTTCTCTACATCCTCCCCAGTACTTCTGTTGTTCTGATAATAGCTATTCTAAGGAGTGTGTGGTAGCATCTCAAAGTTTTAATTTGCATTTCCCTAATGATTAGCAACGTTGAGTATCTTTTCAGGTGCTTATTTGCCATTTTCTTTCTTTCTTGGAGAAATGCCTGTTTAAGTCCTGTGCCCATCTTTGAATTGAGTTATTTGTTTTGTTGTTGAATTTTAGTTCTCTGTATGTTTTGGATATTAATCCCTTATCAGATAAGTGATTTCTTTTTTTGGAAAAATTTTTTTGCTTATTAAATAAACTCTGCCCCCAACATTTGCTCAAACTCATGACCCCGACATGAGGAGTCACATGCTCTACCAACTGAGCCAGTAGGGTGTCCCCTCTTAACAGATAAATGATTTATAAATTTTTTTTCAATCTTGTGGGTTGCCTTTTCACTCTGTTGATACTGGGTTTTTTGTTCTGTTCTGTTTCGTTTTGTTTTTTAAAGATTTTATTTATTTGAGAGAGAAAGAGAGAGCGCAAGAGGACAGGTGGGGGAAGAGGCTGAGAGAGGGAAAAGCCAGCTTAATCAGGGAGCCCGATCCGATGTAGGGCTCAAACCCAGGACCCAGGATCATGACCTGAGCAGAAGGTAGATACTTAATAACTGAGCAACACAGACACATCCGTTTTGTTTTTGAGAGAGAGAGAGAGCACATGTGTATATACAGGCATCCAGGGGGGCGGGCAGAGGGACGGGGAGAGTAAGAATCTTAAGCAGGCTCCACACTCAGCTCAGAGCCGAGACTCTCACTGCTGAGATCATGATTTGAGCCAAAAACAAGAGTCAGACAGGACTGACTAAGCCACTCAGACGCAATGGTTTTTTTTTTGATACTCAAAATTTTTTAATTTTTATGAAGTCTGACTTGTGTATTTTTCTTTTGTTTTCTGTGCCTTTGGTGTTATATATAAGAAATCATTGCCAAATCTAAGGTCAAAGCTTTTGTCATATATTTTCTTCTAAGAGTTTAATTGTTTTAGGTTTCACATTTAGGTCCCTGATCCATTTTGAGTTAATTTTTGTATGTAGTATTTGGTAAGGCCCCAACTTCATTAACTTGCCTGTGGATATCCAGTTTTCCCAACATTTGTTGAGAAACTGTCCTTTCCCCACTGCATGATCTTAGCATCCTTGTCAAAAATCATTTGACCATATATGTGAGGGTATGTTTCTGAGCTCTCTATTCTGTTCATTGGTGTATGTGTATATATCTGCCTTTATGCCAGTACCACATTGTTTTGATTACTATAGATTTGTACTAAGTTTTGAAATCAGGAAGTGTGAGTCCTCCGGTTTTGGTCTTTTTTTTTTTTTTAATCAAGATTATCTTGGCTTGAGATTGGTTATGAATTTTGAGATTCCATATGAATTTGGGGAGAAGTTTCTGTTTCTGAAAAAAAATAATTGAAATTTTGATATGGATTCCATTGAAGGATCTAAATTTTAATGTAGGAGTAAGAATTGTTTATAGTTTCTCAATATGCATTTCGAGTTTACTGCTCACATTGCTTATTGGAAACTGTTTGCTTTTAACAGTTATATTTTTAGGACTAAACTTGTTAAAGCCAGACTTTCTTAGACGTAATTATGTCTTATCTGGTAGTGTTTGTCATGGCAACTCCTGAAATCTCACCTTTTAATTTTTCATTGGGGTTAGATAGTACTCATTTTCTTTCTCTCTTTCTGCCTTTCTCTTTCTCTTCTTTCTTTCTCTCTCTCTCTTTCTTCTCTTTCTAGACACAGAGAGAGGCAGAGACACAGGCAGAGGGAAAAGCAGGCTCCACGCAGGAAGCCTGATGTGAGGACTCAATCTCAGGACCCCCGGGATCACACCCTAAGCCAAAGGCAGACACTCAACCGCTGAGCCATCCAGGCGTCCCTCATTTTCAATTAGATACTACATTCATTGGTCTAAGAGGAAGGTGTTTCCATCTTGGAAGAGAAGGTGGTTGGAAGAGCTATGAAGTGATTGAGAAAATGAAAGCACTGGAACTATTCATTGTGAGCAGCCATGTCCTGCAGGCCAACCTGTTTCTCTTACTTAGAAGAACCAATCTGAGTAGTTGTCAGCACTTTTAGAAACAATAAATCAGTCTCCTTTCTGAAAGCTTTCTTACTGGCATCAGGATTAAAGCTCAGTATATTCCTATGGCTTTCCTGGGTGCTTTTAGACTCACAATAAAATTTTCTCTTTCAGAATTTGGTGTTCACCTAGCAGAGCTGACCGTAGATCCCCAGGGAGCACTGGCAATCCGTCAGGTAAGTTCACACTGATTGGCCCAATTTATAAGTAATTTCCTTTTTTATCTGGTAGTGAAACTTTCTTATTGGAAAGAGAAAGAATAAGACCGATTTACAAATAACCTAGGATTTTGTACTAGATTTAGATACACCTCAAATGATTGTATTAGGCCGTGTGTGTGTGTGTGTGTGTGTGTGTGTGTATGATTTTTATATATGAAGAAAGTCTTTTTCTTACTGTACCACTTGGCTTATTCTCTTTGCAGCTGGCATCAGTCATTTTGAAGCAATATGTGGAAACTCACTGGTGTGCCCAATCAGAGAAGTTTAGGCCTCCTGAAACTACAGAAAGGGTAAGGAGAGGTATTTGATTAGTCTTCCTATAGAGATTTGAGGAGCTGTCTTAAGAAATTAAGGAGCGGTCATCATTGTTCGACAACATGGGGCAATGAAAATACTAGGTAGAAAAGATTGATTCATAGCTGGCATTATGGGAAGCATGCTACAGGTAAGAGAGCTTGAGTATCAGACTGACATGTTCAAATTCCAGTTCTACCTTTTTTTACTAGCTATGAAAATACCAGAAAAGCCTTTTAACTTTTAAGCTTCAATTTCCTAAATATCTAAAATTAGAATTAAAATTCCAACTTCAAAGAGTTGTTTGAAGATTAAATGAAATAATGTTTCTACTTAGTACAGCACTATGCAGCCATTCTGGATGCCCAAGAAATTTTGAGGTATAAGGTCTAGGGCAATGCTGTCCATTGGCACTTTCTGCAGTTACGCAAATATTCCGTATCTATTTTGTCTGGGGCAGTAACTACTGGCCACATATGGGTGTTGAGCCCTTAAAATGTAGCTGATGAAACTGAGGAACTGAATTTTTTACTTCATTTCATTTTAAGTAATTTAAATTTAATAAAGGACCACAGGTAGCTGATGGCTGCTATAATGGACAGCATAAGTTTAGGGATCACAGATGAACTCTGAATGATTTATGATTTATCAAGTTTGTGTATTGGAGTTTTTGATAGATATGCAGTATTTTGTGTGTATTGTTTTTCCAGCACATAAACTAGATAGCGACTAGATAGCGACTCTGCCAGTCGCTTATAACCTGATCTAATGGCAGGTGGGTTTTTCTCCTCTGCAGGCAAAAATTGTTATCCGGGAGCTATTGCCCAATGGGTTGAGAGAATCAATAAGTAAGGTGCGCTCCAGTGTGGCCTATGCAGTGTCAGCCATCGCCCACTGGGACTGGCCCGAAGCCTGGCCGCAGCTCTTTAACCTGCTCATGGAGATGTTGGTGAGCGGAGACTTAAATGCAGTCCATGGAGCCATGCGTGTGCTGACAGGTATCAGAAGTCTTTCCCTAGTGTTGGTACTGGGATCCCAAGAAAACTTACTAGAGGCTGCGGGATTGAATGACTCAGACCAAAAGGAACGGAAATTTATGGCTCTTCCCAATCCTCCTCCTCCCCCTAGTTTTTTTTTTTTTTGTTTTTGTTTTTGTTTTTTTAAGATTTTATGTATTTATTCGTGAGAGACACAGGCAGAGGGAGAAGCAGTCTCCATGCAGGGAGCCTGACATGGGACTCGATCCCAGGTCTTCAGGATCAGGCCCTGGGCTGAAGGTGACGCTAAACCGCTGAGCCACCCGGGCTGCCCCTCCCCCTAGTTTTTATCTCCATGTCTATACTCCCACTCCCTTGACTCTGTCCAGGGAATTAAGTTGGTTAGGTATTTCTACTACTCTGAAAACCACTTAAGGATAGAGTAATTGCATAGTAGTTAAGGACTCAGATTTCAATTAATATTCTGGTTTTACCTTGACCCAGGTTACTTAGTCTCTTGAGCCTGAGTTTCCTTGTATCTAAAATGAAGATAGACCTGAAGGGGTCTTTTGGTAAGTTTAAATGAGCTAAATCTATAGAAATTATTTAGCATAATAACTGACATGAGGTAAGCACTCTAAATTTTAGCTATTATGGTAATTATCATTATGTTAATTTTCAACTTAGTTCAAGGCAAATTTAAGAATAGTCAAATAAGGGATCCCTGGGTGGCGCAGCGGTTTGGCGCCTGCCTTTGGCCCAGGGCGCGATTCTGGAGACCCCGGATCGAATCCCACATCGGGCTCCCGGTGCATGGAGCCTGCTTCTCCCTCTGCCTATGTCTCTGCCTCTTTCTCTCTCTCTGTGTGACTATCATAAAATAAATAAAAATTAAAAAAAAAATTAAAAAAAAAAAGAATAGTCAAATAAAATTTTTACAGGAATATAAGAAAGAAGATAAAAACAGCATAGCTATATAATTCTGACCTTCATTTGGTCAAATTAGATAATGTAGAATTTAGTATCTCTTCTTTCTGTTCTAAGAAGGTAATAAAAATATTTGAAGAAAAATACTTTTAGTCTGAGGAGATTTGGTGAATATCTTGATTCACTAAGCTTGATTAATTTATTAATTCCCAGAACCTGAATTTTCCAGTCTTGTGAGTTCCGCTCTGCTTCCTAACTACATGAAGTCACTCCTGTTTTGCCTTCAAGGAATTACCTGGACATTAGCTGCCTCCCATTGATCTTTTAGAAGTTGTATTTCTCCTCAGTTTGTGAGGGGAGCTTGTGAAATGTCGGCCGATATCTTCTTTCTGTATGCCCGGCGAGCTTACCTGAAATGTATTCCTACCTAGTTATGAACACTGTTTCTTCTTTTTCTTGACTCTCAGCTTATTGAACTTGGCATCTGGTCCCATTTTTACTAGTCCATGTTTTACTGATCAGTTCTCTGTCCAAAAACAAATTCCTGATCTCTTTTTGTTTTAGACCTCCTCTTTCCAGGTCGTGGCTGCCTTTTTGAACTACCGCTTTATTCTTACTGATTATCTGGGATAGGTGCTTGGAGTATAGAGCAGACTTACCAAAAAGATGAAAACGTTTCTTCAGATTTTTACTTCCCTGCTTATTACTTTCCTTCTCTTGTATAACTCATTATTCAGATGATTTCATATTCCCCTCTCTGTGGAATCAAACATCTAGGGTTCTTTATGTACAGCTTCATGGTTCCAGAATATCAGATAACACATGTTTTCTACCAAGGAAAAGAAGCATGTTCCCCTCCAGTCTTCCAACCCAAAGTTCAGCTTTTTTAAAAACCCGAAGGAGAAAGGCAGTTGTACATTTATCGTAGTTGGATACTGTAGAACCATCATTGTGCTTGACTAAGGAAATCACTGTTCAGTGAGATCACTTTTCTGTCAGCCACAGGGAAAGAACTATGGGGGAAATGGGTATTGTTTTATATTGGAGTCAGCAGACATGGGATGGATAGCTGCCAACCTCCATTCCCAGATAGCTGTTTCACATATTTTCAAGTGAGGATAGACAGTGTTCTCACAACAGCAGCTCCAGCGTGCATGAAGATGGCAGGACATGGTGCATGGACAGGATCCCAGTAGGAGAATGGGACTGATTTTCCTTGTTTTTTTTTTTTTTTTTTTAAGATACTATATACTTTTTTAAGCCTTTAGTAAGCTTTCTGTTAAGCTTATCTATTTATAAATGAGAACTAACACTAATGATGTGAAGGAAATACAAACATAGCAGCTAAGGATTAAAATATTTGACCACAGGTACAACTTTTTCTTTAGTGTCAAAAGAAGTTTGGAGATTGAGATATTTCCAGTGCCCCACACCTTTTCTGACTTGCTGAGTGACCTCAGAAAACTTACTTTGGGCTTGAGCTTATAAAGTGTTAATGAATTGAGACTACTAGGAAGGATTATAGGAGAGTAAAAAATGTGATTGAGCACTTTATTAGTAGAATATGTTAAACTGCAATTTTGATAAAACTTGTTTTCATTAATATGCTATACATCACATTTGTTTGAACTAATTTCTTTGGATTTTGAATTTCTGAATGAAATAGAACACTCATTTTATTCAGAACTCAGAATTTATTCTTCAGGAGGAAACCAAACTAGTAAAGAAGACTCAGTCTTGAATATTTGATCTTCATTTGACTTCTGGTGATTGATATTGCCCAAAATTTGTGGAGTATATTAACCTTGAAATGCTGACATGCATTTCCAGTTGTTAGATCATCCTGAAAAGTGTCCCAGTGATTAGCTCCATTTCTACGGTGATAATGTGGAATTGCCAGGGAAAAGCAGTAGTTAAAGTGAACAGACAGTGGAACTCAAGGGCTTGTCCACAGATTAGCATGCGAAACCCAGGGTCCTTCATGCTGTCTCAGTGCCTTATGCGGAAAGTAAAGAGAAAGACACAACCTTTATTTTAACCCTCACCTTCTTCAAGTCTCATTTCATGAATAGGTTGTTTTTTGCCACGTTCATACGGTAGAAATCCCTTCTGTTCCGATGAGCAGCAGCCTCTGACTTCTAGGTCAGTAAATGTCATTCACTGGGAAGAGTAATGTATACAGAGTGGAGTTGAAGCCTAGTAAGGCTGCATGTATTTTATTATGTGCGTCAAAACATCTTGCCAAGGGAGAATATTGGAAATGGAAACGAAGGTAAGATCCTCAAAGTGTACCTGGATATTGACGATCAGGCATAAATTACATTAATACAGGATTTCCCTAAGGTGACCTTACAAGGACTTTTACACAGCTCTTAAAGATTTTCTTTCAATGTGTTTTTTTCTTTCAATATTTATATAAGATTTCATATGTATTTTCCTTTATCTTTGTTGTTCTCTTTCCCCTTCTTCTTTTTTTTTTTTCCTCTTTCCCCTTCTAACAAATAATAATTCTTGCAACTTTTCCTTCCCCAGGATGAGACCACCAGGCCAATAATGTCTTTACCTGTACTGCCACTTCAGAGCAGTTTAAAAATTTCCCCCTTATGTTTTTATAAAGCAGTATTTTTCTTACCATAGTCGCTTTTCCTTTGTAGAATTCACTCGAGAAGTAACAGACACCCAGATGCCACTTGTTGCTCCTGTCATTCTCCCAGAGATGTATAAGATCTTCACGATGGCCGAGGTATGAAGTGTCTACTCCAAGATCGGAGCGAGTAAGAGCTGCTCAGATACTGGTCAGCCTCCACAGGTCATGAGGGAGACTGTTGTTTTTGCTGCCAGTCCCCAAACCCGGAGGCTGTAACTGACAGAGATCTGAGTTTGGATTAACCTTAGATCTTTCACTTAATAAGCACAAGGGCCAGACTTTGGTAACAGAGTGAAATAGCATCTGCTATTTCTGTTATTTCTTCACATATCTCCTTCCTCCTGGCATCCTGCAACCCTGTGCTGCCTCTAGCCTCTCGTTGAGGTGGCCACCTAAGCTTGTTCACCTCAGGTAAATGTGTGCAAGGACCCTATCACTGCATTACCCATAATAGGCCAATAATATATATACAGTGTAAACTATGAGTGCCTGATGGGTAATGTTTTAACCTCCCTACTCTTCTCTGCTGCCAGCCAGCGGTCTGTGTTTGGAAAAAATACGTTGACTGTTTTGAGATTTCAAGCAGCACCCTGCGTAATATTTTTAATAGAATGAGCTCACAGAGGCCTACGTATAAGGCTAATTCCACTGAGTTCTAACATTTTGCTGGCTTTTATTCTCTGAATTACAGGAGAAATCTGTCCTGGATATGAGTAGATGATGTTTCCCATCTCTCTAGGGAAGCCAATCCCATGTCAGTATTTAGAAGTGGTAGTTTTTCTTCTAGTCACGGATAATGCAGACACAGACGTGCCTATCTCATGGCTATGCTGTAACTTTTTGCAGGTGTATGGTATTCGAACCCGTTCCCGAGCAGTGGAGATTTTTACCACTTGTGCCCATATGATCTGTAACATGGAGGAACTAGAAAAGGTAAAGGAACAGACTTCATGCTTAAAAATCTCTACGCCTTCCGTTAGAGACAGAGCAGTGACTCGTTTCATTTCCGTAGTACCAGAATGCACCCCGATTTAGTGTTATGGATGCATTTAGCATTTTGACTTCATTTTTCATTTGTGTGTAGTTTAGTGTCCTTTTGTTTGAACCTTATTTCTTCAACCACCTTATCCTGGATCTTTTCCTATGAGCCATTGCCCAGAACTTCACTGATCTCTTATGGCCCTCTCACATGAGACACCAACCCCTGTCATTCAGAAGCAGTTTTGAAAAGTGGTTTATATAAGAAGGCTATGGTGAGGAACAGAAAGTGTCATAGAAGGAAACATGAAACCTTGCGTAACACCTCCAGTGACTTTATGGCTGCACTTTTCTGATTAGAACCCGCACCAGAAGAAATCTTTAGATGCGTCAGATCTGTGTTTCAGTATTTGATGTGTGCCTTAATGCACTGATTAGCGCTATATCCACTTTTGACTTTGGTTTCTGTTATTAGGGTGCAGCCAAAGTTCTGATCTTTCCTGTGGTGCAGCAGTTCACAGAGGCCTTTGTTCAGGCCCTCCAGATTCCAGATGGCCCCACGTCTGACAGTGGGTTTAAGATGGAAGTCCTAAAGGTAAACATTTACTACCATTGAGATACTTAGAGTTTTAGAAGATGGTCTGAAATCTTTGGCTTTTCCTCCTATATCACATGTAACTCTTAGCTCTTTCTCTTTGTGATTTCTTAGGCAGTGACAGCCCTGGTGAAAAACTTCCCAAAGCACATGGTTTCCTCCATGCAGCAGATTCTACCTATTGTTTGGAACACCCTAACTGAGAGTGCAGCTTTATATCCTTTTCAGAAAGCTTAAGGGACCTGCTACCACCCGTAGTCGGGAATCTAGCATTAGGTCTTGCATTCATGTGGTTCCACTTTTTTAAATGAATTTTTTAAAATATCTACTCTTAGGGTTGGAATGTTTGACATTCCCTTGTAGAACATATATAAAGCAGACTCCAAATTCTGTTTCTTTACTCTTCATCATACTTATGTGAGGACAGAAGTAAATTACACAGAGGAAGTTGAAGATCCTGTGGATTCTGATGGTATGTAGTTCATCTACTCCTAACAGATATACCATAGGGAGGAAAGGGATCTAGGAAAGGAAGAAGCCAGAGACAGGAAAAGAACCATTACATAGAGGCTTCACTCTCTTCAGTGAGTTTTCTAGTTGAGTTTCCTTTCAGTGTATAAGGTGTGGGGAAATGGGACACTGGAAATCTCTAATCTGTTCCTCAAAGGCATTTGCACAGATCTCATAAGATAGACTTTCTGAGTTGAAAGAGCTACCTCAAAGTCCTGCTTCTTTCTGGCAGATGATGATATTTTCATTTCTGTTTTAATAATTTTAGATATTTCAAATCAAAAATAGGCTAGAAAATATATTCAGTGTTTCTGATTCTTTTACTTGAAAAACCAAATATTTAGTATTCTCAAAGTTCCTTTCTTTGACTCCTTAGCTCCCCTCTTCTGTTCTCTTGGGAATAATAATCAGCAAGTACTTTAAATATTCATTAATTTCCAAAGATAATGTAGTTCATTTCCAGCAGCTGTGCTTTCTTGTCATTAAAATCTTCTCTTGTGTATTTCCTATAGGTGAAGTCCTGGGCTTTGAAAATCTTGTCTTTAGCATTTTTGAGTTTGTCCATGCTCTCCTAGAAAATAGCAAATTCAAAAGCACCGTTAAGAAAGCCTTGCCTGAGTTGATTTACTATATAATCCTGTACATGCAGATCACTGAGGAGCAGGTAAATGATATTTGGGAGGTAGTTACCAGCTTGTTTTGGGAAAGTGAAACTTGAATGTGAGATCTAGGTCAAATGAACAATTTTTATTTCTAAAAATAGACACTAGAAGAGTAATTTCATGTGAAGTTCTAAGAAAGCTTTGATACCACTTTAATGCCAAAATCTCTGGGTGTTGCCGTTTATTAACTCCAATATTAGGTAATCGGACTCTGAGAATACTTTTAGCTCCATAGTACTGCTAACCAAAGACAATGGTATCTAGAAGAATCTGTTCCTTCCCTATAAATACTGACACTTAAACCGAGATCATTAGCCTGGTTGGTGGGTCAGTAGACCAGAAAAGAACATTAAACAAAATAAGATAATGCTTCTTTTATATAAACAGCACAAGAATCGACATAATTTTCACATTAAATATTCCATGATACCTAATATATTCGGAAAGTTGATCTGTCAGAAGTAATAGCTAATGAAAGGTAGCAGAGAACTAGTAATCAGCCACATTCTAAAAGTGTTTACTAGAGAGGAATAACTTTTGCTACTTACCTTGATAAAGGATTTGCTTCTCTACATCAAAAAGAAAAGACTTTGAGGCTAGAGTTCTGTTCAAGATAAAAACAAAAGGTTGAAATCTTCCTATGTGTGTGGATGAAAAAAAGGAACATATAAACCATATTGGCAGCCTCACAAAGACCTAACTTCATCATCCTTTCAGATTAAAGTATGGACAGCCAACCCCCAACAGTTTGTAGAAGATGAGGATGATGACACTTTCTCCTATACAGTTAGGATTGCAGCTCAAGACCTATTGCTGGTAAGTGGGTTCCCTTGATACTTCAACCAAAAAACCCTAATCAGGGCAGCCTGGGTGGCTCAGCGGTTTAGCGCCGCCTTTGGCCCGGGGTGTGATCCTGGAGACTCGGGATTGAGTCCCATGTTAGGCTCCCTGCTTCTCCCTCTGCCTGTGTCTCTGCCTCTCTGTGTGTGCGTCTCTCATGAATAAATAAATCTTAAAAAAAAGAAAAGAAAAAACCCTAATCAGTCACTTGAGCATTCCCTTTTCTTTCTAGACCTCTAACCCAAGTTGAACAGTGTTATTGAGTAACTATCTTAGGCTTCTTTGAGGATAACAAGAGAGCATCTCAAATGAAGTTTGAGACTTAGGAATTCCAAAGTCACTGGTACCGGTTTTGGTTTATAAGTAAATATTAGTTGTAAAAATTGCGCAGAGTATAAAGTGTTCTAATGAGTAAGGGTAGTTGAATCAGGGACATTCAGGTTAATCCACTCTTAAGCCAGAATCTGTAGCACAAACCAGATGTTGGCAAACTTTTTTTTTTTCTTAAGATTTTATTTATTTATTCATGAGAGACACAGGCAGAGGGAGAAGCAGGCTCCATGCAGGGAGCCCGACGTGGGTCTCAATCCCGGGTCTCCAGGATCACACCCTGGACCGAAGGCAGCGCCAAACCGCTGAGCCACCCGGGCTGCCCTGATGTTGGCAAACTTTAAAAAAAAATTAGTTTGCTGAGAGATGAACATCCAAACATCTACTATTTTCTTTGGCTCTGACTAGAGCATGGAATTGTCCCTAGGCTGAAGGTCTGTGAAGAAGCTGCCTTTTACTATCTGTTGGGTGGGAGGTTGTTCTCATTATTAGTGAACACTTCTCATTATCCTTCAGTATTTCTACGGCAACTAGGAAAGATTACACTAAGTTTCAATTTGTAGATTAGCCTTTTATTTCTATAGTCAGACTCCCAGAGAATAAATAATCTAGTCCATTGTCATCTGAAGTTGAATCTATCATTGCTCACTGACAATCTGCTCATTCTAGCGAAAGGGAGCTTTACATTTTGTTAGCTTTTCAGTGCCTAGGCAGAGATGTAGATCGTACTTTAATTCCATTAAAGACCCTGAACTAATAGGGGTTCTATTTTTAGTACACTTAATCGGGGCTTAGCATGTACGTATGAAAGAGTTTGAACCATTGAATTAGCAATCAAATTTTCAGTTTGCAATTAAAATGGGTTTAATGGGCAGCCCCGGTGGCGCAGCGGTTTAGCGCTGCGTGCAGCCCGGGGTGTGATCCTGGAGACCCAGGATCGAGTCCCACATCAGGCTTCCTGCAGGGAGCCTGCTTCTCCCTCTGCCTGTGTCTCTGCCTCTCTCTTCGCTCTCTCTGAATGAATAAATAAATCTTTAAAAAATAAAAAAATAAAAATAAATAAAATGGGTTTAATTTGCACAAACAGATTTATAGCCCCTTCCCTCTCTTCTCAGGCTGTGGCCACTGATTTCCAGAATGAGAGTGCAGCAGCCCTGGCTGCTGCAGCCACTCGCCATTTACAAGAAGCTGAGCAAACCAAAAACAGCGGCACTGAACACTGGTAAGAGTGAGCAGCAGATACTTAAGGACACATTCTGGGCATCAGAGCTGAGAATCAAATTCTTGCTTTGAATCACATGTTTTAAAGCAGTTCCTCCCAACCTTAAAATAATCGGTTAAGATGCTTTTATTTTACCCCTTAATTTAAAAATCCTTGGAAGGAAGGATTTTACTTTTACACTGTTTTTAGTTAGAAAAATCTGTTAATCTTCATTTTGCTGATTTCAGCCCTAGATTTAGATTGAAAGAGCAGATAAATGGCTTTTTTGGGTCAGACTGTGCTAGGATGCCCTTGGATGTTTCTTCCCTCAGGTGTTTATCTTTTTGGTAGTGTAGTTTGTTTTACCACCCTGTGGTATCACTTTCGCAGGTGGAAGATACATGAGGCATGCATGCTTGCCCTCGGCTCAGTGAAGTCCATCATCACTGACAGTGTGAAGAATGGCAGGATCCATTTTGACATGCATGGGTTCCTGACTAATGTCATCCTTGCAGACCTCAACCTTTCAGGTATGTTTCAGCACAATGCCAGGATTCTGAAAGATCTTTAGACTTGTTATCAGCTCAGTTATAGTTATATTGTTCACTTAGATGGGTAAACCAGGTATTCATGTGTCCTTTGGGTGAAAATTCTTTCCATGCTAGAGCTCGAACTCATCTGAACCTCTAAAATAGCCTAGAGACCTTGGTTCAAGTTCTACCAGCTAAGACAGATTTCCACATTCATAATTTTTCTACACTGTTCATGTTTCCTTCCAAATCAGTGCTCACATTTATGGCTGGTTTTGGCATTTGTTTTTGGGGGTGCAGGATTTGGGTTTTCTTTCTTTTTTTTTTTTCCCCCTAAATTTATTCAGGAGAGACACAGAGATCTCTCAGGCAGAGACATAGACAGAGGGAGAAACAGGCTCCATGCAGGGAGCCTGACATGGGACTCAATCCCAGGACCCTGGGATCATGCCCTGGGCCAAAGGCAGAGGATCAACCACTCATCTACTGAGCCACCCAGGTGTCCCTGGTTTTGGTATTTGAATAGGATGCAAATTTTGTTGCTTTATCTTGGGAACTTTGGGTGGAGTTCTGTCGTTATTAAGTCTAAAATACCTTCAGGTGGTTTGTGTCAGGCTCATTGTTACTGTTTGTTTCCTGTCATTACTCTCAAACTTTATTCTTGGACAATATCCAAATAATTAACATGTTTCATTCTCATGTCCATATTAGCTACTTGCCTTTAAAGAAAAAAAAAAAAGTTGGCCCTGCTATATGAGACTATTTTCTCCAGCAATGCAGAGCAGTACTATCATCATCTATTTGACATCTTTAGCTATGTTGCTTCTGCCCATGCTATGCCTTGTTCTCATCCATAGACCTCACCCCCCATTACAAAAGGCCATCTTTGCTTTCTCCAAGTACGTAAATCATGGGACTTCTCCAAGTATGTAACTCACGGGTCATTTGGTATTATTTGCTCCATTCTCAATCCATTCACTTGCCTCTTGCTCATAAGCTAGCCCTTTGAGTAGCCAGAGCCATTTGAAAACATTCTACCCTGATTTGAAATAGGTAATCTGTTCTAGGATATCTCCCGATGTCCTTTCCTCTCTCTGAATCACAAAATTAAAATGGTTGAACTTCCAGAACTTAGGCCCATTGGGAATATCCTTTTTTTACTCTGCACTTACTTTATGCTGATGAATAGGTTTTCTTTCTCATGTTAGACTATCGGGTCTCTGAACGTAGGAATCATGTCTAATACCTGTTTGTATCCCACAGTGTCTTGCACGTAATAGGCACTTCATAATTATGTGTTGAATGAAAGTGCTGGAATATCTCAAACCCACCAATATATTTTTTTGTAGAATTTACCATTGTAAAGAACCTTCAAAACTTCATGGAGACTTAAGAATATTTACTATTGAGGGATCCCTGGGTGGCGCAGCAGTTTGGCGCCTGCCTTTGGCCCAGGGCGCGATCCTGGAGACCCAGGATCGAATCCCATGTCGGGCTCCCGGTGCATGAGCCTGCTTCTCCCTCTGCCTGTGTCTCTGCCTGTCTCTCTCTCACTGTGTGCCTATCATAAATTAAAAAAAAAAAAAAAAAAAAAGAATATTTACTATTGAGACTGGGAGAAAGTTTAACATACAGCATTTATTATCCTGCCAATAGCTAAAAGCTTTTCTTTACCAGCCATTTTCAAACTTTCTGGTGTCAGGATCCCTTTACACTTTTAAAAATGATCACAGATTTTTCTTTGAATTTTATGTATCACTATTTAACATATTAGAAAGTAAAAACTTGAGAGGTTTTGAGGCACCTGGGTAGGTTAGATGGTTAAGCATCCAACTCTTGATTTTAGCTCAGATCATGATCTCAGGATCATGAGATTGAGCCCTGCATCTGGCTCCAGTACACTGGATGTGGAGTCTGCTTAAGATTCTCTCTTTCTCTCACTCTGCCCCTCGCCCTCCCCTTCTCTTAAATAATAAATCTGAGAATTGTCTAAAATACAGGAAATGCAAGCTTACATTTCATTAGCTGTCAGAGCCACGGTGTCACACATCAGATCACCTCTGTTAAACACTATACACTTAAGAAAGAATGAGCATGACAAAGATGGATCATATCTTGGTATCACTATGAAAGTTTTAACTTTGGGGACTCCCAAGAGTCAGTGGACCATACTTTAAGAACTGCTATTCTGTATTATATAAAAGAGCATGTAATTATATGACTGGCACAGGTTATTAGGTTCTGTTCAGTAATTCTCACCAACTGCATGTTTACTTTACAAGTAACTAAGTTAAGCCCTGCGACAGGCTGAATTAAGTATTATAGTCTGTTTTCAGGCAACTTATAGTAGGCCAGTGGGGGAGGGTAGTCATCATTACACAGGTGGCTGGAATATCCAACAAAACATGTAAGAAAGCTAAAGACATAGGATTATGGTAGCACAGAGATAGTTAGGATTGCTTCAGCCCAAGAGATCAGTTAGATTATGCAAGTAGAGGTGAATGTTTTGGCTTATAAACAAAGCACAGAAATAGCAAGGTAAAATGTGAGTTGCTGGGAGGGAGGGGTGTGTGCTTGAGTTTATTAGAAGGCATAAAAGGAAATCATCAATAATGCTAAAGTTACTGATCATAGGGGGCCTTGAATATAATGCTTACCTAAAATGGTCTCTATTTGGTAGATTATAGAATTTATTGACAGATACCACATAAAAGAATAACAACTATAATTTATAATGTTCAGTAATGGCCTAAGATTAGAAAAAAACTGGTAAAAAAAAGAAGACATTTAGAGGACTAAGTAATAGTGCAAGTAAAGAATGATGAGACCTAGGGATGGGAATGAAGGAGGTAAGTCTTTTTAACCTAAGAATACTCGAGATCTGGGATGGCTGGGTGACTCAGTGTTTGGGACACCTGGGTGGCTCAATGTGAGCATCTGCCCTCAGCTCAGGTTGTGATCCCAGAGTCCCAGGATCAAGTTCCACATGGGGCTCCCTACAAGGAGCCTGCTTCTCCTTCTGCCTGTGTCTCTGCCTCTCTCTGTGTGTCTCATTAATAAATAAAATCTTTAAATTAAAAAAAAAGAATATTCATGATCTGCTTTGCAGCAAATTGTGAAAAGTGAAACTGGGAAAATGATTCTGTACCATAGATTACACAATTGCTTTTATCTGATAGGATCATCCTTTTTCCTAATTAAGCTGTATGTATTATGTAGTATCCAGTTACTGTGACAAGTTGAGGCTGGAGGTGGGAAGGAGGAAGGGCAAGTAACAGAAACTTTTATTGTCCAACCCCTAATTGCTCTTTTTTCCTCCCAGTGTCTCCTTTTCTCTTGGGCCGAGCACTTTGGGCTGCCAGTCGGTTCACTGTTGCTATGTCCCCTGAATTGATCCAGCAGTTTCTACAGGCAACAGTTAGTGGTCTTCATGAGACACAACCCCCATCGGTTCGAATTTCTGCCGTGAGAGCCATCTGGGGGTGAGTACACCACCTTAGAGTGATAAGAGCTATTTTAAGAGAAAATTACTCAGAGTAGAAGTCCCAGACATCATTTGGCCAGTGGATTATGTTGCTTGGAAATTTCTGACGAAGATCGCCTACCAAATGGCAAATGGGCAGGAAAAAAAACATGTCAAGAACATGGCTTCTTTGAGTCCCAGATATATCCTGTTCCCTTTTGTTCCTTATTCTTTTAAAATTCATTCCTGCTCTGGAAACAGCTAGACCAACTCCCCTTCTTAGAAAAGTGAAGAACCAAGAGATAAATAACATACATAGGATTATACAGTGAAGAATTATAGAAGCAGGATTAGAGCCCACATCATTTTGTTGATTGATATCTCTGTTTTAGAGACTAAACTTGGGATAATGTGGCCTAGTAACAGTGCTTATTTTTTCCCAGTTTTACCTCTCTTTTTCACAGCTAGTATACTAGTGGCTCAACTACTCATTTATTTATATTCCTACCAAGATCAGAGAGAGCATTGTTGTTTTAAGTAACATTTTAAAGTTCAAACTTAGAAGTCTCAGTTGAATCCTAAAAACTACCTAAAATCCTAAAAATACAAAATTCGTCTTCTACCTACTGGCTCTATCTTCTTACCTCTTGAAGCAGAGATTAAGATGTTGTGTATTATTATTGTATGTCTTTAGAAAGCAGTGAGGTGAAATAATTAAGCAGCATGGCTGAATAAGATGCCCCTTGTTTGTATCCCTCCCTCAACAATATGTTGGCATCTGTTGATGGACAACAGTGCTTTTGTGGGAGCTGTGAGACCCAGAGAAGAGACTATGAAACCTCAGTGCTGTCCAAGAACAAGGAGAACCATTTTGAGAAGACAGGCCCATACCCAATGACTGATACGCCAACCCTAGTCCTGGCTGTAGCCCCAGACATCGCTCCATGCTCTTGAGGGCTTGGCTCCTGCCCTAGTTGGCTTGGATTCTATCACCAGCACCACCCATCAAGTATCTGGGAGGATCTTACCCAACTGGGTGTTGGAGAATAGGAATACAGACCTAAGTCCCATCTGCAGACCTTGGAGTAGCCCATGAACTGGTTCCACCCCCTCTCAGCTGTAGTACAGGAGAGAACACAGATTTAGAGAATCACCCATGGATGAGAGAGCCTTCATGGAAGTCCCGAGTCCAGCAGAAAGATTCCAGCACAGCACTGGAGCCAAAAAATATAAGACTGGACACTTTAAAGGGGGTCAGTCAGTAAAGACTGGAAGAAGTAACTTACTTCAAATGTGAAAACAGCAACACAAGAAAGACTCTAAGGAACATGAAAAATCAAGGAAATGTGATAACACAAAAGGAGCATAATAATTTTCTAGTAACTGACTCAAACACAGAGATCTGAGATAAACCTAACAAAGAATCCAAATAGCTATTTTAAGGAGCTCAGTGAGCTATAAAAAACAAAACAATTCAGTGAAATCAGGAAAACAATATATACACAAAGTGAGAATTTAAAAGAAATAGAAATCATGAAAAAGAACCAAGCAGAAATTCCAGAGGTGAAGAATGCAACGAATGAAATAAAAAATGGAACAGAGACCATCAAGAGTAAAACAACTCAAATGGAAGAAAAAAGCCTGTATAATAGAAGACAGGATGTTTGAAATTATCCACTTGAAGGCAAGGAATAAGAAATGAAAGAGAATGAAGAAAACCTATGTGAATTTTAGGAAACCATTAGGAGAAACCATCTGTGAATTATTGGAGCTCTGGAAGGAGAAGGGAGGTAGAAGGCAACAGAAAGCTTACTTAAAGAAATAATGTCTGAGAACTTTCTAAAGCTGAGGAGAGATTGTACATCCAAGTTCATGAAGCTAATATTTCACTCCAAAATTTCAATTCAAAGTGATCTCCAACATAATAAAACTGTCTAAACTCAGAGGGCTTTGGGATGCCTGGGGTGGCTCAGTGGTTGAGTGTCTGCCTTCAGCTCAGGTCATGATCCCGGCGTCTTGGGATCGAGTCCTACATCATTCTCCCCGCAGGAAGCCTGCTTCTCCATCCGCCTGTGTCTCTGCCTCTCTGTGTGTGTCTCGCATGAATAAATAAAATCTTTTTAAAAAATAAAATCAGATGGCTTTTAAAGCAGCAAAAGAAAAACATTTCTCTCATATAAAGGAATACCTATAAGACCATCAGCTGATATTGCAGCAGAAAACCTTGCAGGCCAGGGGAGAGTGGGGTGGTATATTTAAAGTGCTAAAAGTCGAAAATGTCAACCAAGAATATGTGGCAAAGTTGTTCTTTAGTCTCCCAATCAAACCTTAGGGAATTCTTTAAATTACAGGAAATACTGAAAGGAATTCTTCAAGCTGAAATGAAATTAAAACGTGAAATATACAACACATTGGTAAAGATAAGTATAAAAACAAATTCAGAATACTCTTAACACTGTAATCTGGCATTGTGTTAACCATTTAACTCTAAAGGACAAAAGTATTGAAAATAACTACCTAAATTTGTTAATGAATATACAATATAAAAAATTGTGACATTAAAAAATTAAATTGTGATATTAAAAACATAAAAGAGAGGGAATAAAGGGTAGAGCTTTTGTATAGAAAGCTATCAGTGTGAAATAAACTGTTATATCTATAAATGTTTTATGTAAGCCTCACAGTAACCACAAAGCAACAATCTACAATAGACAACAGGATCAAAGGATTCCACTGTGGGAAGTCATAAATTCACAAAGACAGCAAGAGAGGAAGAAAGGAGCAAGGGAACTTCAGAAGAGCCAAAAAACAGTAAGATGGTATTAGTAAATACCAATCAAAATTACTTCTTTTTTCTTTTTTGAGTAGGCTCCTTGCCCAATGTGGAGCCAGCCCAGCACGCTGCTTGAACTCAAGACCTGAGCTGAGATCAAGAGTTGGATGCTTAACTGACTGAACCACCCAAGTGCCTCTCAAAAATTACTTTAAATATAAGTGGATTTAAATCTCTAATCAAAAGTCAAGAGTAGCTGAATGGATTTTTTAAAAAGACCCAACTTAAATGCTGCCTATAAGAGACTCACTTCAGGATACACATCCTCAAAGTGAGGGTTGAAAATCTATTCCATGCAAGTGGAAAGCAAAACAGAACAAGGGTAGCTGTATTTTTATCAGGTAAAATCGACTGTAGGTCAAAAGCTGTACAAGAGACAAAAAAAGTTATTATGTAATGAAAAAGAGGTGAATTCATTAAAGAGATATAACATTTGTAAACATACACATTTGGCATTGGAGCACCTAAATATATTAAACCAATAGTAACATCTGAAGGGAGAAATAGACAATACATTAATAGTAGGGGACTTCAGTAATGCACTTTCAACAGTGGATGGATCATCCAAACAGAAATCAATAAGGAAATATTAGACTTGAGTTATACTTTTGACTAAATGGACCTGATAGACATAAACAGACTGTTCCATCCAATAGCAGAATACATGTTCTTCTCAAGCACACACAGAACATTCTCCAGGAAGGATCAAGTGTTAGGTCACAAAACAAGTCCTAGCAAACTTAAGATTAGAATCATACCAGTTGTGCAGCCCAGGTGGCTCGGTGGTTTAGCACCTGCCTTCGGCCTGGGGCATGATCCTGGAGTCCCGGGATCAAGTCCCACATCAGATTCCCTGCATGGAGCCTGCTTTTCCCTCTGCCTGTGTCTCTGCCTCTCTCTCTCTCTCTGTGTGTCTCTCATGAATAAATAGACAAAATCTTAAAAAAAAAAAAAAAGAATCATACCAGTTGTCTTTTCTAATTACAGTGAAGTAACAGTAGAAATCATTTATAGGAGGAAAACTGGAAAATTCACAAATAGATGAAAATTAAACATGCTCCTAAATAACCAATTGAAAAAGAAATGAAAAGTAAAATAGAAAAACACCTTGAAATAAACAAAAATGGAAACCTACCAAAACTTATGAGATGCAACAAAATCAGTTTTAAGAGAGAAGTTAAGAAAAAAAAGAGAGAGAGAGAAGTTTATAAAGATAAATCTCTAAGAAAAAAATGGAGGGGGGCTCCCTGGGTAGCTCAGTCAGGTAAACATCTGCCTTTGGCTCAGGTCATTATCCCTGAATGGGGAACCTGCTTCTCCCTCTCCTTCTGCTGTTCCCCCTGCTTGTGTTCTCTCTGTCAGATAGATGGATAAAATCTTGAAAAAAGGGGGGGGGGATCTCAAAAATTTAACTTTATATCTCAGGAACTAAAAAAGGAAGATAATAAGCCCAAAGTTAACAATAGGAAGATCGGAGCAAAAATAGAGACCAGAAAAACCACAGAAGAGACCAATAAAGCTAAAAGCTGTGTATTTTGAAAACAAAACTGACAAACTCTAGGTAGACTAAAAAGAAATGAGAGAAGACTCAAATATAAAACCAGAAATGAAGGGCACCTGGGTGGCTCAGTTGAGTAAGCTTCTGGTTCTCAGATCAGGATTTCCGGGTGGTGAGATCAAGACCTGAATCGGGCTCTGCACTCAGCAGGGAGTCGGCTTGAGGATTCTCTCTCTCCTCTGCCCCTCCCCTCCTTGCACATGTATGCATGCCCTCTCTCTAAAATAAATAAATGAATCCATGTATGCATGCCCTCTCTCTAAAATAAATAAATGAATCCATTTTAAAAATCAGAAATGAAAGAGACATTATAACTGATACCACAGAAATGCAAAGGACCATAAGAGACTACTATAAACAGTTATATGCCAACAAATTGGATAACCTAGAAGAAATGGAGAAATTCCTAGAAACATACAGCTTACCAAGGCTATTCGAATCATGAAGAAAGACCATTAACAAGTAAGGATATTAGATCAGTAACCAAAAACCTCCCATAAAAGAAAAGCCCAGGACCAGATGATTACACAGGTGAATTCTACCAAACATTTAAAGAATTAATACCAATCCTTGCTCAGACTTTTCCAAAGAAACTGAAGAGGAGGGAGCACTTCCAAACTCATTTTAT